TGCCCCAGGGCACCCTACACTCAGGTCACGTCCTCACCTGGGCTGGGCTGCCCTCCCGGTCCTTGTGCAGCTTGGGGCGAAGGACCAGCAGTCGGGTGGGGAGCGAGCAGCAAGGACGGCTGCTTTGTGCATCCCGGCAGGCCAGTTTCCCCACGTGGGCACAGGAGGGGGGCAGAGGGGTAGGAGCGAGGGGGGGCCTAGTGCAGGGTTAGGGGCACAGGGAGGAGGTGCAGGCAGTAGTGGCAAGGGAGGCATGGGGAAGGGATGGGGCACCGAAGAGAGCTTCAGGGGGGAGACAAGCAGGGGGCTGGGCACAGGAGAATTCAGCAGCGGTGGCCAGAGCCCCGGGCCCCTTAGAATCACCGGGACCTGGGGCAATTGCCCCCTTTTTCCCCTCCTCCCCCACTAGTGGGCCTCTGGTAGCCTGTGGAGGTAGTCTCTTTGGCAGGCAGCAGTGACCTCAAGCAATATCATTCTGAGGCAGAGCTCCCTGCCCTGCCTAGCTCTCGCCTTACGAGCGGTGCCAGCACTTCTGAGGCGTACGGGCTTCTCCCAGGCATAAGACCCAGGAAAAGCGTCCATTAGAGACCGGCCTGGCGTCTCGACACGTGTCGTGTTTCTCGACACCAGGAGAGCTGGCGTGAGGACGGTTGTTTGAACAGGGTCATAACGTGGGGTGCGGGCCGGTCGGATAAGAAGAGATCTAAGGGAAAAAAAATTAAGTTCGGGGTTATGGGTAGGTGCAGGGAATAACTGGTTTTAAAGTTGTGTTTTCATTTTCAGGATGAAGGATTCCGTTTGCGGCCCAGGACGGGCAAACAGAACAGAGGGGACTGCGTCGTGCAGGAAAAATTGCCCAGCGCCGGCACAAGGATGCACCAACACCTAGAGCGGAGCAGCTACGGGAACAGCCCTCGAGCGAAAGGGTACGGACGCTACCCCATTACCAGCCTCCATCTGCAGCTGAACACCCGAGTTGCTGCTCTGGTGAGTTTGCTTTCCACAAAGCACGTTTCACATGTTACACATTAAAGCAGGCGCCTTCTGGGCTCTCCCTGGTAAGTGGCCACAACAGATTCTTCCACAGGGATGAGGCAACAGAGCCGGAGAAACCATTTGAAAAGCCAGGCCCCACCCTGGCCGCCTGCGCAACGCTACCGTTCGTCGTGGACAGGTCCGTAAACAGGTGTTTATCATTCCGTACCGCTCTCTGCGGCACACAAATCCCTCGCCGCTCAGCAAAATCCAATTTCCGCTCTGTTCCAGGAGGAAACTGTTTTCAGAAATACAGCAATAAAAACCTCCAAGGCCTCCGTCCTTATTACGCTGACATTCATGTGAGAAATGGCATTTGGGTCTGGGGCCAAGAGTGACATTTACTTTTGTTGTTTCCATTAGATTTAGTTCGGTTTTGTCACGGAATCATTTCTCATCGTTTTCTCTCCACTTCTGTGAATGGACCCGTAAAGCTGTTGATACCCCGCATCCCACAGCACACGCTGGGGAACTGCATGATTGCATGTGCCAGTTATGTAAGATGTATGTTGCCGTATGCTCCCCTGCAAAAAGGAATGATCTGACATGCAGGGAGGTGTCACACAGGAACGCCGGTCACTGTTTGGCAGGGTATGCTAACACACCCCAGTCGTTAGGAACCATTTCTAAACCTACCAACATGGGGTTTGGAGTTCCTTGAACCATATGAATATTTGTTTCTCTACAGAGGATTGGAGTCTTACGGGGTTTGGAACAGCTGCCATATGAAGAGATATTAAAAAGACTGGGACTTTCAGCTTAGAAAAGAGGACACTAAGAAGGGACATGATAGAGGTCGATAAAATCACGACTGGTGTGGAGAAAGTGAATAAAGAAGAGTTATTTAGTCCTTCCCATAACACGAGAACAAGGGGCCACCAAATTAATAGGTAGCAGGTTTAAAACAAACAATAGCACGTATTTCTTTAGGCAGCACATAGTCAACCTGTGGAACTCCTCGCCAGAGGATGTTGTAAAGACCAGAACTTTAACAGGGTTCAAAAAAGAACTAGATAAATACATGGAGGGTAGATCCATCGATGGCTATTAGCCAGGACTCGGAAAAGGTACAGAGAAGGGCTACTAAAATGATCAGGGATATGAAACGGGGGAGATTAATAAGATTTTTCAGCTTGGAAATGAGACGACTAAGTGGGGATACGATAGAGGTCTTGAGTCTTGACTGGTATGAAGAGAGTGAATAAGGAAATGTTGTTTAATCCTTCACCTAACCCAAGAACTAGGGGTCAGCCAGTGAAATTAATAGGCAGCAAGTTTTTAAAAAATCAACAAAAGGAAGTATTTCTTCACACAGTGCACAGTCAACCCATAGGATGCTGTAAAGATCAAAACTATAACAGGGTTAAAGAGAACTAAATTGTTTTTTGGAGAATAGGCCCATCAGTGGCTATTGGTCAGGATGGGTAGGAATGCAACACTGTGTTCTAGGTGTTTGTCAGAAGCTGGGACTGGAAGACAGGGGATGAATCACTGGCCTATTGCCTGTTCTGTTCATTCCCTTTTCCTCTGAAGCACCTGGCACTGGCCACTGTCGGTAGACAGGATACTGGGCTACATGGACCTTTGGTCTGACCCAGTACGGCCGTTCTTCTGTTCTTATGTTCTTATGTTACTTAGCCCCTAGAATGGCCACCAGGGCGCTGTGCAGCCTTGTTGTGAAAGCAAAGCTCTGCAAAGCTTGGCCTCTGTGCTCTGGGCTGGGGGAGGATTCCTGCCTCAGGTGGAAGCCAGACACACCCAGCCTGAGCGACGCATTCTCACCGCGGTGACCTGCGAAAAATCAAACTGCAAAGGGAAATCATGCCTCACCCCACTACACTCGCCTGCATTATTTATTTCCAGACTGAGAAGTCCCCCCCCGCCTCCGCTCTTGACTGACCACCCGAAATGACTGTGCCCCGAAGCTCCCTGCTTCAGGAAAAACACAAACCGCGTGCGGTTGACACAGTCACACAGGCAGTTTCTTGATTGTCTCCTGCTTCGTATTTCACTCTCAGAACAGGATTCGCGCTGCCTGGTGACTCTCCTCCTTCCTGCTTAATTAATTTCCACCATCAGCAAAGACGGTCTCCAGTGGAGAGCAGAAATTAAAGTCGGCGGCTCCGTGACTTTGCTTGCTGTAAACAGTTATTTGCAATTCCCGTTCATATATACACACACACACACACACTATGACAAAAAGACCACAGCAGCAGAAAATGAATCCCCGTCACGAAGGACTCCAGAAGAACACTGGCTTCCGAGACACAAAGCAGCAGCAAGAGTTGCATTTCATGGAACACGCAGAATCACCGCTAAGTTAGGATGCAGTTAAAACACCAGAACCGCTCCCCTCCCAAAGTCAAATACAAAACATTAAACATGAAAAAGAGCCTTTGATTTAGAGCAGATCATAAAAGCCACTGATAACAATCTCCCCATCCCCTAATGATGAGTGTCTGATTCAATAATCACCATAAACCCAGTGCTGCTGTGAGTTGCTGGCTTCATAAAATGCAGGGTGGATGGACAGTTTAATGTATTGAACCCACATCCACGGCTGATACCATGACACAATGCCAATCGTCTGCTTGATTTCATTGACACATTCAAGATGTACATATCCATTGGGTCAAGTATCAGAGGGGTAGCCGTGTTAGTCTGAATCTGCAAAAGCGACGAGGAGTCCTGTGGCACCTTATAGACTAACTGAAGTGTAGGAGCATAAGCTTTCGTGGGCAAAGACCCACTTCGTCAGATGCATGTAGTGGAAATTTCCAGAGGCAGGAATAAATATGCAGGCCAGGATCAGGCTGGAGATGACCAGGTGGATCCAATCAAGGAGGATGAGGCCCACTTCTAGCAGCTGATCTGGAGGTGTGAATTCCAAGAGAATAGAAGCTGCTTTTGTAGTTAGCAAGCCATTCACAGTCTTTGTTTAATCCAGAGTTGATTGTGTCAAACTTAAAGATGAACTGTAGCTCAGCAGTTTCTCTTTGAAGTCTGGTCCTGAAGTTTTTTTGCTGCAGGATAGCTACTTTTAGATCTGCAATTGTGTGTCCAGGAAGATTGAAGTGTTCCCCTACAGGTTTTTGTATGTTGCCATTCCTAATATCAGATTTGTGTCCATTGATTCTTTTACGTAGGGACTGTCCTGTTTGGCCGATGTATATAGCAGTGGGGCATTGTTGGCACATGATGGCATATATTACGTTAAGTGGGTCTTTGCCCACGAAAGCTTATGCTCCTACACTTCAGTTAGTCTATAAGGTGCCACAGGACTCCTCGTCGCTTTTGCATATCCATTGGGGAGGCGGAAGGGAAGAGCAGGCAGCCAGGGAGAAATGGCATGGATGCTCTTCATTCAAGACAATGTCATGGAAACATCTGTCTTCGTTTGTTCTCTTGTCACTGCTCTGTCCCCTGTTCTCCAGATTGCTGGATTTGGGAGAAGTGGAGGCTTTGATGCTATGGCCTTATCTTCACTCCGCTGAAGATCGCTGCTGCTGTGATCGAGCTTCCGGAGTTCGATTTAGCAAGTCTAGCTAAGACTCACTAAATCAAACTCAGAGAACTTTTAAACTGCCCCCAGCAGGCCTTAATAGGCTGCAGGAGCCCTGATTAGCCTGCTGCTTCAGGCAAGCTCTTAATTGGCCCCAGGTGCCTGCCTGTCTTATGTGGCAGCAGTGAACAGAAAACTATTTACCTGCACATTGTTTAGTATTTACCTGAAACGACTGTATACTACTTTCCTGTATATTTGCCCTCCACCAAACTACTGTAGCCAGCTGCCCTGGGTCTGTTACAGGGTGTTGCTGATGCATTTATATTGTCTTTTTCGCAGGTGAGTTCCACGGTGTGCTGTGTTCTTTCCGCATCACGGAATTCTTTCTTTGCCCCGTTTTCCTCCCTAGTTCTGCAGAAAGTACCCCCTCCCGCATGCAGCACTTGGGCGTCTACCCTGGTTTTCCAGCCTTCCCTCCCGAACAGCACTTTGCTTCACACTCAGCATTCAGCCGTGCGGCCCGGCTGCAAAAGCCCCTTCGCCGAACAATCGCCCTCTGTACCACAGCCAGTCTCCATAGCAGACATGCCTCATGAATTCGTTTCTGCAAAACATCTTGCTGCATCCCCCAACTCTTCATTCCACATGAATGTGCCGTTGTGTCATGGCACAAGCAAGCAGAAGGGCAGGAGTAATATGTTCCAGTCGGGCTCATTTCAAACGCATCCACCTTCCTCTCTCCACAGCCATAATTCAGGCTGTTAAATGCCTGACCAGCGCTAGCCATCTGCTTCCAGTCTTCTAGGAATACCGCTGCATCATTTAATCAAACAAGAGAAGGTCCCTGTTTCATTGAATCATAAGTCACTGTTGAAGTAATTATAGTTTTATGCCCCCTACCAGAAGGCAACAGGGACGCTTCATTTTATTGGCTTCCACATTCCGCGCAATGGCGTTGCCAAGGTCACCCATGTGAGAAAAACGCACGTTAACGTTGCCTCAGCCACAAACAGGAGTGGATTCCTCTCTCTTCCCGTACTCAGCCTCCCAGAGCCACTGGAACTCAGCGAGGGACCAGTCTGGCCATGAGTTATCAGCTTGCTTCACGTTAATGCACATGTGCAAAATTAAGTGCAGGCATAAATCTTGGCAGGCTTATACAACAGCAAATTGGAAACTGAAATGGCGCTCGTGGTGGTCCGTGGTCCAGCATGTTTTTAGCGAGCCAGGTGTCCACTTATCATGGGTATGGCCAAGTTTCCCGCTGTCCCATAAAGATTGTTTACAGCCACCCGCCCTGGCTCTGGGATCTGCACTGTTATTTAGCTCTAATTTACCCCAAATGTCTTCCAAGAGCCCAGTGAGCAGTGGAAGTGTTGATAATGCTGCTAGACAATAATGACCTCTACGGTCCGGCAAATTCTCTGGTTCAGCACCAGGGAGGTCCTGAGCGCTGGACTAGAGAGGTTCAACCTTTAGTGACTTGCCAGAAGACTCCACAGAGATCTTGCGCCTTCCCCTTCTCTCAAGGTACCATTTGGGGCTCACTGTGTCACCCTGCTCTGAAATGCGCAGTAGTGGCCAGTGGGCAGTTTGCTGTCGTTGGCAGGTTGGAAGGGACAGCTTTTGTCACTGTGCCACAACACACCCAGCTTAATAAACTGACTTTTCCTAATTATGCTGCCTGCAGATACCCATCGTAAGAGCATCAGAGATCACACCGGGCCCATAAATAGACTCACAGACTTTAAGGTCAGAAGGGACCATTATGATCATCTAGTCTGACCCCCTGCACAGTGCAGGCCACAGAATCTCACCCACCCCTCCTAGAATAATCCTCTCACCTATAGCTCAGCTATTGAAGCCTTCAAATACTTTGAAGACCCCAAGATGCAGAGAATCCTCCAGCTGTGATCTGTGCCCCACGCTACAGAGGAAGGCGAAAAACCTCCAGGGCCTCTGCCAATCTACCCTGGAGGAAAATTCCTTCCCGACCCCAAATACTTACATCTGACATCAAGGCAGGACACCATTCCCCATCTGAAAATCTCCCGCTGACACACGGGCAGGCAAAATATGGCCCATGGCTGAATGTGCCCTGCCAAACATTCGGATCCAGCCTGCCATGATACTCTGGGCTGCCAATGTCCTGCCACCCACAGGGACTCTTGCTATCTGGCCAAGAGGAGATGCCTGGGCTATGCTCGCGGACACGTGCAGCAAGCAGAGACACCCCTTCGAGGGGCATGCAGTGCAGACACACACACGCTGGGCCCAGCCGCTGGCTGCTTCGAGGGTCCCACTGGGCTGCTGGCCGGGAACCGCCTAGTGTAAGTGCCTCCCAGCCAGAGCCTGTACCTGGCCCTTCCCGACCCTAACTCCCTGCTCCAAACCTCGGCTGCTTCGAGGGTCCCACTGGGCTGCTGGCCGGGAACCGCCTAGTGTAAGTGCCTCCCAGCCAGAGCCTGTACCTGGCCCTTCCCGACCCTAACTCCCTGCTCCAAACCTCTGGTCACAACTCCCTCCCACACCCTGCACCTCCTCCTACACCCTTCTCCCTGGTCAGAATCCTCTCCCGCACCCAAACCCCCTCCCAGACCCTGCACCCCAAACCCTTAGCCAGAGCTCCCTCTTGTTCCCAATCTCCGTCCCAGACCCCACACCTCCACATTAATATCATAGAAAAGTGTGGCCCTCGCTCACTTCCCAAATTCTTGGAGTGCCCCCTGTCATGTTATTGGATTTTAAAGATTATTGCTGCACCCATGGGGAGGGAGTTTGCCCCCAAAGTATGTACAAAGGGGGCCATGTGAGGTGTCAAAGGAAAGCTTGTGTTTTCCTGATTCTGTAGATGCTATTCATGTACTTGTATGATATCTGTATGTGGAGTTATAAATATGTAATCTGTCTGAGACAGAGCAAGGGGCAAAGAATGTTCAGCCAGTGACTATGCTAATTAGCAAGGCTCCAGGGACAATGCTAATTCAGCCAGTGACTATGCTAATTAGCAAGGCTCTTTAGGTGCCTGAGGAATGTGTGTGGAAATCTGGATACCTGCAAACCAGCCAGTATCTGATGGCCGCTGACATGGGACACAGGGATAGGTCACTGGGCCATGTGAGCTGCTCTGGCCAGGAAGATGCCAGGAGAGGTATATAAATGCCATGTGGCAATCTCCATCTGGTCTGCAATTCTGCTGCTGATCCCAGATGCAGCCTTGCGAGGGACAGAGAGCCAAGAAGAATTGTGGGCCCATCCTGACATAAGATGTACACCAGAGACTTTTAAGGTAGCAGTTTGTAACATCTCTGCTAAGAGCCTGCATTGAGAACTTGGTGATTCGGTGCATGTAATGTATTCTCCTTAACAAGCTTACTCTCGTGCTTTTCTTTCTTTTATTAATAAACCTTTAGATTTTAGATTCTAAAGGATTGGCCCAGTGTGATCTTGTGGGTAAGATCCAGAGTGTAAATTGACCGGGGATTTGTGGCTGGTTCTTTGGGACTGGGAAGACCCGTTCGGGGTAGGTGAGATTGGGTTCTAGAATCCCTCACCTGTGTGTTAGGCCTGGCGCTGATTGTGGCACAGGGATAGCTGGGGTATCTGCGGGGTTTTGCTCCATGTAATCAGTTTGTGACCTGTTTGGGAAGGTCTCCGGTCTGGGGCTGTAAAGAGCCCCTGTTTTGAGCAATTCACCCTGAGCGGATGCCCTCAGCGGTGCCCAGACCCGGCCTGGTCCGTCACCCCCTCCCCCAACAAAAACGATTGCCCACCCCGAGCTAACATCTGATGGGCAACAGACTTCCTGACCCGCCGAAGGATCACACCCCTTCCTGCCAAACAGCCATCCCAGAGAGAGAGCAACAGCGTCAGGAAGGGCAGTAACAAAAGCCAGTGACCACGAACGCCCCTCTCTTGGGCAGACACAGCTCATCACTAGCCTTGCAACACTGAGCTCTCTGCTAGCGGCAGCCAGAGCTGGGGGGTTTCCTCCTGGAGCCAGGATGAGCTCAGCCCTGAGAAATGAGCCAATCCCCATGATACAAACTCTACCCAAGTGCTCCAGGAGGCATGAAATGCAGCTTCAGCGCCACACTCCGCTTAGCTTCAGAAGACAGTCCGATGCCCCAAGGGATTTACAACAGGGGGAGCAGATCCAGCTTCATGGGCACAGCAAATATAATGGTGAATGAAACCATGGGAAAGACGGGAGAAAAACAAAGCCAGCAGCTCAGGCAGACATCCACGTGAACAGGCAGTACGATACCAGCAGAAGGGGAGACGTGCGCCCTATGTCTTTACAAAGGTGTGGGGTACAGGGCTGGGGGGCTTAACAACAAACAGCAGTATCGTGGGGAGGAGTATGGTTTGATCCACCCACCTGCTCTGGGATTTACACAGCACAGAGCCACGCGATGAGAGGTTGGAGACAGGTTAGCATCCGGAGGTGAAATGTACCTGATTAAAAATACATGCCACCTGGTGCCTCCTTCTGCGCTCTGAATCTCATTTATAAGACATGCTTTGTGCTAGAGGTACCGGGAAAACTGTACTGAGTTTAGACTTCAAAACTATCTTGATGCTATAATAAGACACATGAATAATACTTGTCTACCACTTTAATGAAGGAGCAAGGGGTCATGGCCACTGTTCTTTCTATTTTTTCCCCACCCATATGCAGAATAAATTTTGTTCTGTGCACCAATGCATGTGTGGGTGTGCACCACCAGTAAAAACACATGCTGCCAGCTGTGGGTGCTCTGCTAATCAGCTGGGCAGGATCTGAATCTCTCCTGGGTGGCTGCCCAAGTGCTCAGCTTACAGGGAACACTGGTCATGGCCATTTCAACCTGCTTTGGGGTGTAGGAGCATGGCTGACGACTAACCTCATCCTGTCGGGTGATGTCACAGCACCACAGTGACCGGCAGACCCACCTGCTGCTTTCATTGGCTGCTTCCAGTGTCAGGATTGGCTAGAAGGCACCCCACATTAAAAAGACAGTAATGGGTGGAAACAGCCTTTTCCTTGTACCATGAACCTGTGCCTGTAGCATGGCCCACGTGCACTTTGCAGCTCTGGTCAGCCACTACTGCACCAGGTAGCTCTCCGGCCTCTCTCCAGCCACCTGCAGCCCTCGCTCAGCATCACACAAAGCAGGAGGGACCCTTAAGTGCAAGGGGTTCCCCAGCTACACAATTAGCAAGGCAGGTGCATGGCAAAGCCCAGCAAGCCTGAACGGTAACCCACACCGATCATTCCCAATGAAACCCAACGAGAGGCAGCGGACTGGAAAGGGAACGGGGCACAGCGACACCCCGGGCAGCCAACACATGGACCCTGGGTCTGTTACAAACCCCTGGAGAAGAAGAGGCTTGCAGCAGTAGAAGGAAACAAATCACGTGGAAGCCAAATAAAGGGCTTAAGGCAAACCCAGCCTGGTTCCTTCTAACCTGGACCGGCCTTTCCCCCGGAGTCCTACAGACCCATGTTCCTGCAGTACCTCCTCCCTCTCCCAGGGGGTTTCCGACCACGCCCAGTCCGTAAAGTGCAGCAGGTGCAAAGGAACCTACCCCGCCACCCTCCCACCAGCCCAGAATCAAGTGCCAGGTCTGTCGGCATCTGGGCACACTGAGATTTACCTCCCCATTTGGAACAAAAAGGGTGTGGCTGCCAGGCTGGGTGTCCAGGGAGGTTTGCATCCAACACAGAGCCCGGTTTGCCCACAGCATTAACCAGGAGAGCCCCGCTGCTGGTTAGAATAAGCGCTTTATATATTCAGATCTCAAATGCGTCTACACAGCACCCTAAACTCGAAAGACGCTTATTTCAATTCGATTTCAAAATAGCTTATTTTGAAAGGTGGCGCGTCTACACTGCACCAGGTTTCAAAATAAGACACTATTTCAAGACATCCTTTAATCCTCGTGGAACGAGAGTTACAGGGATGCCGAAATAGCACGCCCATTATTTTGAAAAATATTTAGAAATAATGGGTGGCTTGTTAAGACCTGGGGTAGCTATTTCGGGATACCTCTGGAATCTCGAAATAGCCGCACTCTGTAGACGTACCCTAAGAGAGTGAAATAGAAGTGCGTCTGCCTTGTAATAATAAGAAAAGAGTTCAAGGGAATAGAACTCAGATTGTTACAAATGAAACAATTCCTCCCTCTGCTAGAAAACCTCTTTCTTTCCATGGTCTCAAGGGCCGGGTATTTCATTTCCATCCCTTTCCCTCTCATGGAAACCAATGAAAGAACCTGCCTGGCTCAGAAGCTAAGTGAGATTACTGAGAAATATCGAAGGATATTGGCCCACGCAATGTGTCACTGGCTGTGCCCGTCTGAT